ACAGCCGACCCAGGAACGCTGCAGAGCTCACTGCACACGCGGCAGGTGCTCGCTCGGATCTACAAGGGCAGGGCCTCAGCCCAAACCCAGGGCTGACGTGGGCTTTTTAGTGACAATCAAGACCTTCGTTCCTTCCCTGGTGCTGGCAGCCCCAGTTATAGTCCCTGAGTGACAGGAGGGTCCAGGAGCCATGACACTTCCCCACGGACCTCTCTCTATTCCAAGGCAATGGCACACCCAAGTCCCACCCAGGGGGCAGTGGAGAGCCTGGAGGCGTCTGAGTCCCATTATGCTTCTGTGGGAGGGCACAGGCTAAGCTGGCCCGGGGGAGGGGTAAGCCGGGGGCTGGAGAGAGTGCAAGCTCGAGGGGCGGGCGGGCGGTGTTGAGTGTGTCCTGCCTGGGCGCTCTAGGTGTGTGTCAGTCCCTCCCCTGGCTCTGCCGCTCAGCCCTCTGCCCTTCTAGTTTTCTGCTCCTCCCTTTCAGACCATGGCTCCAGGGGCACCTCCCAGGGCAGCCTCCTCTGACCTCTCTGACCTTCCCAGCAGCCTTGTTCCTCTTGTGCAGCACACAGCTGTCCTCGCACACGAGCTTCTGAGACCATCGAGCAGATGTCCTACCTTCGCGGTAAACTGTGTGTCCCATGAGCCGAGGGGGCCTCCCCAGGGTTAGCAGGGCCCCTGACACACGAGGCACCCCGTAGCCGTGCTGAGCGGGTGAGTGGGGCGATGAGGGGAGGAAGGATGCAGAGCGGCGTGGCTGCGAGCAGCATGCCCGCCTGGCACAGCCTCACCGCCCGGGACAGTCTGGGCAGGCCTCCCAGCCTGTGGGGCTAACCCAGCCTTCCCGTGGGCAGAAATAAGGCTTTCTCCGCAATAGTAAGAGCCCTTCAGGGGGGAGCGCGTCTCTTTCATCTAACCGGGAGCATCTGGGGCAGAAGCCACCCCCGGGGAGTTAGTGTCTGGAGCTTGGGCTGTGGAATGAGAGGCTCCTGGGCAGACAGAGAACTTTATCTTCTCGTCTATAAAATGGGCTGTTGGACGGCGGAAGAGGATTGTATTATTCGCAGCAGTGTGCGGGGGGCCACAGTGCCCGCTGGACACTGTGCCGTGTCTGGTGTCAGAATCTAGAAGGCGGAGTGCAGAGTGGGGGCCTCAGGGGGGACACTGGAAAGGAGACACTGACCGCCCACGTGTCACCTGCCAGGCGGAGGAATGGGGAGGGCTGCTTCCTGTCCCGTGTCCAAGCTGCGGCCAGGCCCCTGGTGGGGGCTCTGCTGCCATCTCGCTGAGATCCACGCGGGCAGGGCTCCCCTGGGCAGCCTCGCGTGGGACAAGGGGGTGAAGTTTGATGATGTGGGTGGGGGATTATTCCAGGGTGGTCGGGGGGTACTCACAGCTCTGTCACGTCCTTGGGGATGCCTTTGGGGAGGGCGCGGAGCCCCCTGTTGCTGCACCGCACCACCGTATCCACGCAGGTGCACTGCTCGGGGCAGCGTGGGCCCAGGTGACAGCTGCTCTCATCGTTGCCTGTGGAGAGCCCGAGAGTGAGCGTGGGAGGTGACAAACTCCCATAGTGGGGACAGGTGAGCAGGGCCGGGTGCAGTGACCAGGCCACCTTCAGGAAAGGGTCGCCCTCTGCTTTGAGCCAGACCAGGACGAGGGAGCCTGCTGGTCTCATTCACGGTTGGGGGAGAGGAATAGGCGCCTGGGTCACAGCAGGGCTGCTTTATTTCCTACCACATTTCACATGAAATGAAGACTAAAAACCTGGTTGACCAGAGCACTAGACAGGAAAGCGGTCACTGCTAACCCGATCAGAGATAAAGCAAGCTGACTAAAGGAGGGGCTTGGGGAGGGCCCGAGTCCGTGCGTTCCCTCCCTCCCCTCCTTCCACCACACAGGGCTTCTGGGTGGTGACTGTGACACTTGAACCTGTTAATCTGTAAACCAGTTCCTCTGCCTCTAGGTAACCCCAGGCTGCCCAAGGAAAAACGGTGCTGGCTTGGATTTAAGCAAACACTCTGCCTCCCGGCATCCTGACACTCGATGCCTCGATGTCCAGGTGTCCACACACCTGTCCAGGGACAGGGATCTTCCTTCTGGGAGCTCACCTTGAAGTCTGTTTCTCACGAGCGCACACTCTGAGCCTCACCCTGGTGCCAGCAGGGAAACTGAGGCCGGGGGAACCCACGTACAGTGGTGCCGGTTGTGCACCGCACAGAGGTGCCACACCCTCTAATGGGCACCAGTCCCACTGTGGACATGGTAGATGAGGGTATTTGGTTCAACAGTGTTCTCGTAGACGGCTGTGCAGTATCTCGTCACAAAATCCTTGTAGATTACAAACTTCTGCCTAATGGAAGTGAAATGTCTTTTGAAAGAGGCACCTTTTCTTACTTTGCACAAAGGAGCCACGTGGGCCGGCAGCCGCCCTGCAGAGCCCTTCTGCGCTCCAGAGGCCTGGCCGGTGACAGCGTAGAACCTGACTCAGGGGTCCTGCCCTTCAGTCCCTGCTGCCCCTCCCCTCCCTCGTGGCCCCCGCCCCGCCCGGCTTCCTCACCCTCGCAGGTGAAGTCCTGGACGGCCACGTCCTGGATGGGAATCTCCTTGAGGAAGAATGGCTTCTGGCACCGGGGGTTCCCGCTGACGACCCGCCTCTTCCTCAGCCACTTGCCCAGCCAGGCCAGGTGGCAGTTGCAGTTGAAGGGGTTGGACAGGAGGTTTCTGGGAGGAGAGAAGGGCCCTCTCTGGTGGTTAAGTGTCTACTGTGGGCGCTGGCCCGGGGATCCTGCTCTGCCACCCTGGGACCCAGCTCTCCAGGGAAGTCTGCTCCTGGCCCCGGGACGGAGGAAGGAGGTCTGGGAAAAGGGGGTGCGGACTCTTCTAAAACCCAGATGCAGTCTTTGCCGGTGTCATTCCTCGGCCAGTGGGCGTGACCGTGGCTCCGGCCACACATGTCCTGTCTGCTGAGCCCCGGCCGCACGAACTGCCTCCGGCTGCCCGGCAGACCCTCTCACTCAGCACCTTCACACATGGAGGTCCTCCTGCGGGCGGATCCCTAGTGTCTGCCTGCCCGGGGGCCCTCAGCCTCCAGGCCTCAGCTCGCAGACCCCTCAGCAAATTACTCTCCTTCACTCGCCCTCATTCCCTCCGTAGCACCCACCAGAGCTGGCAATGGTTGCCCAGCATCGCCCCGGGGGAGGCGCCAGGTCTGTCTGTTCTGTGTCTCCTGGCACAGGTTGACACCAGCACAGCCACTCTGTGCATGTCTGTTGGATGCCACGACTGGGCTGATGGAGGGACGAAGGGACAACAGCCCCTATCACTTCCCAAGTGCTCCCTACAGGACTGGAACCAGGCAAAGCACTTTATAAATCCACTCACTCATGGTCACCACAACCCTAGAAAGGGGGCGATGTTATTCTCATTTCACAAATGAGGAAAGTGAAGCCTCTTAAGGGCCCGTTGGCCCTTTTGTGCAACTCCCCGAAGCTGGGCTTTGCGCAAGCCTGCGTATCTGCTCTGCTCCAGCCACCACAGGGCCTTTGCACAAACTCTTCCCACTGGAGGAAATGCCCTTCCTACTTTCTTGAACAAGCTAGCTCCGCTTCCAGAACAAAGCCCCAGTGCTCCTCAACAAAGCCCAGGCTGGGTTTTCAAAGCACTGCGGGCCTGGAACGGTGGCGATTCACTGTGCTGGGAGCTCCAGGAGGGACCACGCCTGTGCATCCTCAGCACCTCAGTGGTGACCGGCACATGAAGGGAGCCTGATAGATGTTTACTAAGGGGACAGATGGGTAGATGACCTTGGCCAAAGACAGCGGGGAGCTGGGAGGGGAGGTCTGCGGGGAGGAACCCAGAGTGAGTGTGTAGTGGGCCCCGGAGGACTTACATGGTGGACAGGGAGACAAGAGTGGTGAAGGCTCCGGGGGTGATGGTCGTGATGCGATTGTCATAGAGGGACAGCAGCCTCACTGAGCTCAGACCAGCGAAGGTGTCATTGCTCACACAGCTGACCAGGTTACTCCTCAGCATCCTGCAAAGGGGGACGAGAGAGCAGAGGCTTTACCCTTTCCTTCCCACAGTAGGCCACCGAGGTGCGCTTGTGTGTGTACATATGTGTGCGTGTGTGCATACGTGTGTGGTGTGTGTGTGTGTGTGTGTAAAGCTTTTGCCACTGCCAAGCCCAGACCAGTCACGGTGCTGAGGTTTGTGCTGTGACAGCAGGGCCTGGGTGCCCATGGGGCTACCTGTAAATGTGTATGTACATGCTTACCTGTGCACGCTTTCTTGATAGTGGGAGCAGGTGTCGCTCATGTATATTGTGCGCACATGTATATTTCTGGGAGGGGAAGGGACATCAGCGTGTGTGTGTGTGTGTGTGCATGTGTGTGTGTCTTTCTGTGTGCGTGTGTGTGTCTTGGGGGCTGCTTAGCATGCTAAGGGCTGGGAAATGTCAGATGTCCTCTGGCTGCAGGAGGAAGGGATTCATCAGGCCTGCGCCTGGCCCGCCAGCCTTCATAGTCCCTCAGATGCCCTCCCTCCCGCCTCCCTCTGGCCCTGGCCCAGGCCCCGGCACTTACAAGGTCTTGAGGCCACTGAGGCCACGGAACATGCGGCCGTGCACCGTCTCCAGCTGGTTCCCCGTCAGCATCAGCTCCTGCACGCCCGCTGCTCCGTCAAAGGCGCCCTCTCTCACCTCCTTGATCTTGTTGTTGCTCAGGTTTCTAGAAGGAGGGGGCGAGTGGGTCAGGAGAGATGCAGGGAGGGGGTCACACCCCTGCAGCCAGCAGGGGCCCCTCGGGTGCCTCTGGAGCGAGGACCGGGAGGTGGGGGGCTCAGCCCCTGTGCCCAGGGGGCAGGGACCCCAGTCCACCAGGTGGGGCTGCGTTTGTGAAACAGACTGTGCGGGTTTGAAGTCTGTTCGGTGCCACCCTCTTCTCCGTGCCAGGGGGCCTGCTAGGTTTAAAATAGTGGTTCTCCACTAACTATAGTCACCAATAGTGTGTTACACATTTGAAAGTTGCTAAGACAGTAAACCCTAGAAATCCTCATCACACGAAAAAAGAGAAAGAAAAGCATTTTGTAAACACGCATGGTGACGGATGGTAACGAGGTTAGTTGTGGGGACCATCTCACGACGTGTGAGAATAGTGTCTTTATGTTGTACACCTGAAACTAGATAACGTTATATGTCAATTATTCCTCAGTAAACATGAATAAAATTAAAAAAGGACGTATAAAAAAATAAGACAAAAATAAAAAGTGTGTATGGATGAAAAACGGTAAAATAAAATAGTGATTCTCAAACTTTCTTCAACAGATACACTGGCTAAGCAGCAGTTCTTAAGAGGAGGGTCAGGGAAAATATGCGGTAGGCTCCCCGACGCGGGCTGGTTTCGCAGAACTTCTGGCTCTCTCACTAGTCGAGATCTTAGATATGAACGGACACCTTCTAGCTTCCACTTTTGACCTTATTATGGACTAGACTCCACATGAGGGGTTTGGCAACAGAATCACATCCAGTCCTCAAAACAAGGCCTCCTGGATGGGTGTCCTTTTCCTCACTGTCTCATTCTACGGATAAGGTGACCGAGGTTCAGGGAGCTTAAGTAACTTGCCCACAGTTACGCAGCGGACAGAGCTGGGATGTGAAGCTGGCTGTGGGGCACACGACAAGTCCTCAGTGAGCAGCCTCCTCGCTAAGCGACGATCCCTTCGGTGATGGATATTAACTTCCATGTGTTACTGCTTTGCAGAATCTGGCTTTGGGGCATTGTGTTTTCCTAAAGTGGGCTCGTTCCTATCACTGAGAGCAGGCTCTCCCCTCCAATGTCCAGTCACCACGCGCAGGCCTCACAAGAGATCTGGACAGCAAGCAGGTCCTGCAGAGCCACGGCTGCGAGCTCCCTGGCAGGCAGGGACCGGGGGCCTCTGCAGACCACCCGGTGTTCAATCCTGAAAGGCATCACAGGCGGGATGGATGGAGTGGAAGGTGATGGCGCTGACACAGCCTGGGGGAGGAATTCAGCTTCCCGAGCAAACGGCGGTCAGAGCCCTGCGCGGGGATGGTGGTGGTGAGGTCTGCAGGTGGAGAGGCGGCCGGCAGACTGGCGGAGCACCTGAGGTTGTGAGAGCCCAGGGCTCACGAGAGATGGGCCCGTGGGCCCCTTGTGCTGCCGGGACATGCTGAGGCCCGGGGAGGAGCCGGCCTGCTCTAGTCCCAGAGCACCAGGTGGGGTACAGCACCACACCCCGTGCCTGGCACTTCTGTTTCTCCAAGCGCGCTCCTTGTGGGAGCTCTGGGCTGAGCCCCAGCAGCCTCTGGGGTGGTGGAACTGGGTCCCTAAGGGCTCCATGCAGGCTGCCTGCCATTTTTCTAAGTAAGGACCTGGCCTGCAAGGTGCTACAATGCCCGCACCTGCGGGCAAGTGTGGAGGAAACAGGTGGCACCTCGGTCCCCCTCTCAAATGCCTGCTCCTCATGTGCTCCTCCCCTCACTTCCATGCTGCCAAGGAAACAGGCCCACACTCCTGAGAACCCCTCCCCTGAGGTCAGAGAGAGTGGGGAGGGGTCTCACACCGGATTTCTGCTCGCTGCCTGGCTCTCCTTAATCTCAGCTGGTTTTCTTATAAATCCTGGTCGTCCTGGTCCAGGAGACCCAAGAACGAAGGTAATGTTCCGGGGAGACTGCAAATTACCCCCAAATCTGAGATAGGAGGCTCCCCAGTAGCTGTAACTCATCCGAATGCTGGGGGACACAGGTTTGGCTCCTGGGGAATTAAGGTGCCCGGGCCGGGCAACGAAGCTGAGTTAGAGCAGCCTGGGGAGGGCTCCCGTCTCCTGACATCTGCTTCTTTAAACGAGCAGAATTAGCATCGCATTACTGTAAGGCAAGTGAATTGGATTTCCTTGGGCTGGGAGAATGGGAAACATAAGGAGAGGAAAAAAGGGGGCGAGAATGTTCCAGAAGACCAGGCTGCTGCTCTCTCTGCACCCATCACAGTGGTGGTCAAAGCGGCAGGCAGCCTGCGCTGGAGCTGAGAGAGAGAGAAGCTGGGGGACAGCACTCCGGACACAGAGCGAGGGCATCGGGGTCTCTGCAGGCCCACCCGAAGGGGCCCGCTCACCACTCCGCTTCAGCACCCAGCTCCCGTGAGGAAGGGGGGTCTCACCCCTGAGAGGACCAGGAAGTCCCACCCCAGGCCCAGGGCAGGGACCAGAGGCGGGACCGACCCAGAGTTGCGCCCGCTGCCACTGTGAGCTGCGCGCTGAGCCCCCTTCTCAGCCTTCACGAGAATCGCCGAGGACCCTGAGGCTGGCGATTCGCCTGGAGCCTCTGACAGTCTCTCTTCAGCTCCGCAGGGCAGCCCACCAACCCTGGCAACAGGGAAGGATCCGCAATTCTGCGTAACGCCCCGGCCCAGGTGGACAGCAGTGGGGAGAGAGCTAAGGGTTTTTCTGGGAACGGAGAAGACTGGGTCATGATGGAGCAAAAGTGCTGTGGTCGGGGAGGTCCTGTCCCCCTGCACGCGGGCCTCTCGCTCCCCGAGGTGGAAATTCTATCTGAAGCTGGAGTTGCAAGCTCGAGTGTCCACAGGGCCCAGGCAGGTGACTAAGCCCAGGGCGGTCTGGAAAGCACACGCCCCACCCAAGGGGGTGCTTGCTGCTCCTCAGTGCGGCTCAACCGGAGCCACGTGGGAATATGGATTCAGCTCTGCCAGATCTTCTGATTTTCCAGAAATCCACATAATTTTGTGTGTGCAAACTTCTGATTTTTAAAAGTGGGCAAGTAGTTCTTATTAAAAACACAACCACAGCCAACAAACTCACCCCCACGCACCTGCCATTTTCCAGCCTCTGGTTGAGAGTCTCCCAGAGAGAAATAACCTAGAGGTGACCTGAGAGCAGCCGTGACCTCACTCTGAAGGTGATGTCATCTGAATAGTGGCCTGAGTTACCACAGTGCTAATAAATAACCCTTGTGGGTACCAGTTCCTGCTTCTCCTGCATCCCTTGGTACAAGGGAGACCTCATTGTTCCATGACAGGTAAGGGCACCGAGGCTCAGAAGGGCACAGCAGAGTCTAATCTGGCTCTGTGTTCACCCTCCTGTGCCCGTCAGGGCAGAGTCACGATGCAACCTTAGGGCCCTGGTCCTGTCCTACAGTCCTTGAGGGTGCTTAGCAGGCGCAGGTGCAGCTGGCATTAGCCACCGATATCCAGCTGACCCAGCACCTCTATGGGGTGCAGGGGTGGAGAGGGGTCCCAGCGCGTAAGGATCTCTACTTAACCGAGAGAGCTGCCATCCCGTTATTTTATATAAGTGGTTGCAGCTGGTGGCTGTCGGGACTGGATCCGCCCCGCCGGGTCATTTGCTTGGCTGGCCAGCTCTATTTATACGGATTTACGCCCGCCCGTGCGCACGGCCACACACTTACGGCCTCTGTGTGGTGTGCGCTCCCCAGCTAACTGCCCCGCCGCCGCTCCTGGCTCTGGGCCTGCTCCCTGATTTCTGGCCTTGGACAAGTTACTTAGCTTTCCATGGTTCAGCTTCCTCATTTGTAAAATGAAGTATCTGCAAAGCTTTTTTGTTTTCTCGATGAGGCCTGAATAATATCAGGATTGTCTGGCACAGAGCAAAGTGTTCGAGTAAAGTGAGAGCAGCTATTGTTAGTGTTGCTGCTGTTTTATTATTATAATTATCATTATCGCTACTACTGCTACTGTTACTACGATTACGGCCTTGCGCCCAGCCCCTCTCCCCATCTGTGCTAAGGCCCAGGCTCCTGAGAGTATTTGAGTTTGCAACTCCTGCTTTAAAATATATGACCAGCTGCCCTGGGTCACTCAACTCCGATGACCTCTTCTGCCTTCCTGCCCCTTCTTGCCCTAGTCCCAGGGCCAGAGGCCATGCCGATCGTCTGACCTCTTTATACTCACTTCTGACCCTCACCTTAAGTCACAAGGAAGGTGAATTTTTCACATAACAGGGGAGGGGCAGCTCCGCCTGTTCTTTCCTCACACCTGGGTTTTTCGGGCTGCCCTTGCGAAGTGGGAAAATTTGGCAGCCCTGACCTACGCTCCCGCATGGGAAATGCTGGGACGGGCTGAGTGACACCTGTCTCTTTTGCTGGGGACTGGGCTTTCGTTTTGCCACAGTCCCCACCGCTCTCTTTTGCGGCTTGGATGCTGAGGCTGAGAGTCGGCTGCCGCCTGTCATGCATTTGCGCCGTGGTCTCCCTCGGCAGGCAGAAATAGTTCTCTAGGCTCGTGCCCGGTCGCAGTGGGACGGTGAGAGCTGGAGTCCAGGTGCTGGAGCCGCACCCACGATGGTAGGGTGCCCACTTCTCTGTAGAAGGGAAGCTGACCCGACCCCGTTTACGCTGCAAATACGAGATCGGCCAGCTTCACACATTTAACACCTGCCTATCTCCATGTGCGTGTAAGCTTCTCTCTTGAGGTTTAAAAAAAAAAAAGTGTGCATTTCTCTGGTTTGAATTAAAAAGCACATCTCCTGGCTGGTGACAGGGGATGCTTGTGCTGGGTCCGTAAGCTATAGGGGTGCTGGACCACAGGGACAGCCACGATCCTCAGCAGGGCCCACGGGTGTACCTCCCAGCTGCCCCTTCACCGTGCGCTCTGCGGCTCCAGTGACAGAGCGGTCACGAGGCCGCGGCCAGGGAGGGAGGCGGCGAGCCTGAGCGGCGGCAACGTGACCCAGGGCTGCATGGGCAGGACAAGGTCCCTCTCCTTCTCGCCTGGAGGGGACTGGTGGGTGGGAGAGTGGAGAGCAGGTGAAACACACGGCCTACAGCCAGTGTTCATTGGAGTTACGTGGTGCTGCTCAGTTAAGTCGAGTCCTCAGCAGGAAAATGAATCAGTGCATGCGGAACGGCTGCTCCCAGGGAACACACAGGGTCGGCTTCCTGCCAGCCGCTGGTCGCAACATTTCACCAACCAATCGATACACAGCCTTGTTCGGTGTGTGTTTCTGTATAAAGATGCCTCACTTAATATGTACTGTTGATTTAGTTACATCGTACGCACAGTAACTCCTGCCCGGCCAAAGCTCTACAACACGCGGGTTTTCTGCAGGAGGCTCATCGCAGGCTTACTGTGCTCATGCTCACTGGGCGGCACCTCAGCACTGTTTTAAACGGTGAAATCGCCAAGGAAAAGCAAAAACATGCAAAAAAACCTCCCTGTGAAAAACTGTGGCTCTAAATACCCTGTGAAAATGACACGTGTCTCCAGTGCGAGAGCTGAACCGAGGGAACAGAGCGTGGCCCTGTCTGTTTCCGCTCGGAACATGTGTGGGGGCGACTCAGATTTTTGCTGCTCTGCCCACGGCTACGAAAAACCAGGAAGGTAGCTCAAGGACTGATGTTGAGATGCCAAGTACATTTTAGCCAGTAGGCTGATTAGCAAGTATGGGATCCAAGATTACGAGGTGTGACTGTATTTCCTTTGTCCCAGGGGAAGACCCAACTTCTAGGGCTGGGGGATGCGGAGTATGGGGTAGGGAAGGAGAGGGGTCAAGGAGAAAGGATGAGATGGTACAGAGCCAAGGGAAGGGGGTTCTGTTGGGGGCCTGGGAAGGAAGAGGGGGGAAGCAACCCCAGCCTCAGGCTGGTCGGAATGCTGGCTCCAACATTGATTTGCTGTGTGCTCTTAGAGAATTCATGGGACCTCTCTGAGCCCCCCAGGCTTCCTCAGCCACACAAAGGGCATCTCGAAGCCACCATCAGGCAGGCGTGTGAGGACCGGATGAGATGACGCACCACTCCTGGCCCAGGGTCAACACGTGAATAGCTCATCACTCCTCCTTTCTTTAGGAGTTGGTCTGAACTCCTAGGCAGGGACAGGGTTCTGGCGACAGGCAGACCTGGCAGTGCAAACACCAGTATAAAAGCAGGTGGACCCTGTGCCTAAACTCAGGCTCTGGTCAGATCCCAGGCTCCTAGACTGGAGCCCAGTGTGTGAGGCAGCTGGTGTTTCCACGCCAATGTGCCTCACTGATGCAGAGGCCTTTAGGGTCCACTTATTGTTTACAATAGCCAAGGCATGGAGACAACCTAGGTATCCGCTGATAGACAATTGCATAAAGAACATATGGTACATGTATGCAATGGAATATTACTCAGCCACAAAAAAGGGGGAAATCTTATCTCTGGAGACAGCACAGATGGACCTAGAGGGTGTTATGCTGAGTGAAATCTGCCAGTCAGAGAAAGACAAATACTGTATGATTTCACTTATGTGTGGGATCTAAAGAACAAACAAACAAAGCAAAAACAAACTCACAGATACAGAGAACAGACTGATGGTTGCCAGAGGGGAGGCTATTTGGGGGGCTGGGTGAAAAGGGGGAAAGTACAGATTGGCAGTTATAAAGCAGTCACGGGGATGTAAAGTACAGCAAAGGGCATACAGTCAATAATACTGAAACAACAAGGCTTAGCAGGGGCGGGGGAGCATTTTGGGAGCTATGTAAATATCTAACCACTATGCTGTACACCTGAAACTAATATAATATTGACTGTCAAGTGTAAGTAGAAAAAAACTCCAAACCTTTAAACCATCACCTTGAAAAAATTCCTAAGTGACATGTACCTGAGACCCCCCATGTCCCATCACTACCCTTTCCTGAGTCCCTCCCACCACCCCTTGGGGTGGATGCTGGCTGTGGGCTGGGGGATCAGGATGAGCGGAGGGATGTGGGGTGGCGTCAGGAGGGTGTGAACAGAGGGGGCATGGGGGCAGGTCAGGGACAGCGTGGAGCACACACTACAACACTCGACAGTTTAGAAACAGTGAGGTTTGCTTTGGTCTGTGTCTACACTTCATGCCCGTAGCGGGGTCGGGAGGCAGCCGAGAGGGCCTGCAGTGGGGCTGAGGGGTCCGCCCCCGCCCCGGCCTTCTGCCTGCCCTGTGCCGGTTGTCCCAGCTGACTTACATTTTCCGCAGGTTAGGCAACTTTTTGAAGATGCCGGTGGCCTCGAGGACAGATATCTCGTTGTCATTCAGTCGCCTACGTGGGAAGCAAGCAGATGAGGTGGTGCCTTAGCCCAGGACGGCGCACCTCCTTCCCTGCCTTCCATCCCCCTACCCCCCAGCACCCTCACGGCTTCAGCTGAGTTGCCGCCTGGACCTCATCTCAGCCCAGACCAACAGAGCCACGTAAGATTCAGCATCCACGCCTTCAGCCCACGGGTGGGGTGGGCAGAGGAAGCGGGAAGAGGCGCTCGCGAGGGGTGGGAAAGAGAGAGGGCCAGGCCTTCCCCCGGAGGAAGCCCCTTGAACTAGGTGTGTTGGGTCTTCTGAATCCTCGGCACCCTAACCATCGATTGCCAGTGATCTGCCTTCACTTTGCAGGGTACCAGGGACAACGTACACCCCCCAGGAAGGCCTTCCCATCTTCTCAAGGCTCCAAGCCTCTCGGCTCCTTCCAGGCTACTTCCCTCTTCTGGGGGCTGCTTGGGGACCCCAAGCCCCACATTCATTCGTGCTCGGGGAGAGCAGGAGGGCCGGTGAGGCTGTGCCTTGTCCTGTCCTGCTGTGACTTGTAAAGGCAAAGAGAATGAGGGTGGTAACACTGAAGACCGCCGTCGTTTATCCAGGGCTTGCTCTGCACCGGGGTTCAAGGGGAATTCTGTGCTTACATCCTCCCACTCAGTCTCCCTAGGCACCCTGCAGGTAGGATCGTTGCCTCCAATTTGACAGCTAAGGATCTGACCCTCAGAGCTGACAGGCCACTGCCCAGTGTCAGGAGGACTGGAGAAGGCAGGCATCAGACCCAGGCCCCCCGCCACACCCTCACCCACACCATGCTTCCTGTTTTGAATAAGCCAGCACCCCCTTTATCAGCACAACTGGAGGCTTAGATAGAGCTAATCATCCTGGCTGCTTTCTTGCTTTCTGACAATTATTTACTATCCATCTTTCCAGGTACATTGTAAGCTTCATAAGGACAGGCCGCCTGCTTTGTTCACTGTGGAAGCTGGTGGGTCTGGCACAGGTCCTGGCTCACAGGTGTTTAGAAAATACTTGTAGAACTAACGAACTGTCTTCACGGGTGAGCAGGCTGTCCCCGGTGGATGCCGGGGTGTCCGCCCTCCAGGACAGGCAAGGAGAGCCCAGGTGACTGAGTCGGGAGGGGCCACCTCAGGAGACCCTGCCAGGGCTGACTCAGGGTGACTGGGGGGGGGGCGTGCATGGAGTTCACGCCCGGGCAGCACTTACAGGTCGGTGACGTATTCAGGGAGGTGGCTTGGGATGCGGGCCAGCTTCTGGTTGGAGCAGTCCACAATGGTGCCCTCGCAGCGACACTTCTCCGGGCACACGAGGTCCATGAAGCACTCGCCGCTGAACCTGCTGCGGTAATCCTCGGAGCCTAGGCGGGGCCAAAGAGGGACGCAGTGTCACCGGGGCTCCAGCACCCGTGCGGCTGGGGACAGTGGGGGTGGGGGCCCGGGGACAGGCACGGCCTTGCCTGTGTTTTCTGGCCACCTTTCTGGTGCCCTGCCCGCCCCTAGCTCCCCATCTGGTCTTTGTCATTCACCCCTCTCGGTCTCCCCGAAGCCAGGCCCCAGCTCTGCGGGCTCCTGAGCTTTCGTGGGGCGTGGGCCTTTCTGAGAAGCTGACGAAGCTAGGGACGGTCTCCTCATAGAAACGCTCCCAGGCACATGTGTGCAGAATTTGGCTACAATTGAGGGGGGCTACTCAATTGATGCTCATTGTCCATGGGCCATCTAAGCGTCCATGACAATCTGAATGAGGAGATTTTGATGGGGTTTCCGTGGGGCTACGCCAGGGGTGGGAATGAAGTAAGGGAAAGGGTCACACTCGGTTGTCCTCGGGGCCCAAGCAGGCAATGAAACGACGACAACGGAGGCCTGACACGTGGCCACCCATGACCACAGATACCCGCGTCCAACACTGGGATACAATATTGGGGGTTGGGACCTGGGTAAATGAAGCCTCTGCCCCAGTGCTTGGGAATTGGGCTCCGGGTTGCCTGATAATCCTTTAAAACATGGTGGTAAAGGATTCGAATTTAAAACAGGGTGAAGACACACAGTCCCCGTGAGGGTCAGGTCTGCGCCCCCGGCCCCCATCTCTGAGAGTGAGCTCTGCGGAGTGAAAGGCCAGTTCCGACGAGCTACAAGTACTCGAAGCTCAGGTTTATTTTTTTGAAATTTGATTTTTCTTGAGGCTGCACAGTAATGGGAACAGGGCCAGCAACGCGCTGTCCGAGAGGGGCCCTGGGAGCCGCTGTACTGATCGGAAATGCCCCCTGCGCCTGGGCAAACCTCCACGAGACGGACCACACATCACACCCGAGGGGAGAGGAGTCCTGTCCCTCCTCTCGGACACCAGCTAGCGGATGGGGGAGGTCTTTATTATTTCACCCTCAACCTTTCACGAGCGCAACACCAGTCACAAAACAAGAGATCGGCCCGGCTGGCATGGCTCAGTGGTTGAGCATCGACCTAGGATCCAGGAGATCGAGGTCTGATTTCTGGTCAGGGCACATGCCCGGGTTGCGGGCTTGATCCCCAGTCGGGGGCGTGCAGGAGGCAGCCAATCAATGACTCTCATCACTGATGTTTCTATTTCTTTCTCTCCCTTCCTCTCTCTGAAATAAAAAAAAGCATATTTAAAAAACAAAAAACAGACCAAAAGAACAAGAGCTCAGTCCACAGGTGCTCAGGCGTCAGTGGGGTGCCACTAGCTTGGCAGGGGCCTGTACGTGCGCGTTTGGGAGCGTTTCAGTGACCGCGGGCGCCGTCTGTGTGCGCAGCAGCCGGGAGGGCCTGGCGATGGACCCTATGTGCACCGGGAGCCGCCAGGCCCTGGCAGCACGGGGTTTTGCAGTAGGGGGCCTGGGTTCGCCTGGGCTTTGCCACTGACTGGCTTCAGTCTGTCCACATGTAAAGTGGGAATCAGGTAATTGCCCGGATCTCACGGGGTCTGTTGTAAAGATGCAAGGAAGACCCAGGTGGTGGAGGATCTCCGGGAAAGGCGCAGTCGTATAGATATTTGTGATTCTACCTGTTTTTTCTAGAACCTAGTGGAACATTTGGCCTGTCGGAAGCTGCTAAGACACCCATGTAACTTGTGCTAACAGCTGACGTTTACTGAGCAAGGACCAGGAGCCCGGCGCTATTCTTTGAACTTCAAATGGGCGAGCACATTGCGTTTCTGAGGTTATTATGACTCCATTGACCAGGTGAGGGAATCGAGGCCCGCAGGTCACAGCGGAGGGGTGAGGCTGCTGCCAGGCGCTGACCAGCGCCAGGCATGTCTTTTCACAAAACCCTCTAGGATGGATCCCGGGTCCCGCTTGGTGGAGGTGGGCTGAGCAGCATGTTCCCGCCTTGCGTTACGGTGAGGCAAGAAGCAGACCCCCCCCCC